CAACTGCAGTGTTGGATCAAGCCATGAGGTTTGGACTCTACATCTTACTCGGTCATGCTCTTCTTTACATGTCTTAAAAGGAATGGGGAACAATCTACATAATTAAAAACTAAAAGGGAACAAAGGTTTGGTCTTCTTATGATTATTCTGCTAATAAGAAGTAGCCTTTTTTTTCAGGATAGTTGATCCAGTATTTGAACGCCTTTTATTTCGTGAATAAAATTGAAAATGATCATAGATTCGTGTACATGCAGTGATCTTTGCCTTGAACTCTCTCCCTGTGCTTGTGCTCACCTTCAACTGCCTTACTTAGGTTGTATTGGATCCAAGTTTGTTTTCTTTTTTCAGATTTAATTCAACAATCGACATGATGTTGTAAAGCATGCCGGCTGGGTGATTTCATAAAGTCTTTGGTGGCCAACCGTCCGAGGCATCTGTGGTTGAGGCAAGTTCACTTTTCGGGACTTCCTTATTTGGTAAACATGTACTATCGTGCCCTGGTTGTCGCAACCGGCTCGGGAATTTGCGTGTTTCTATCCTTCCTCTTGTAGCCATGCGCGGCGGATGTGAATTGCTTTCTTTGGGTGACAATTGGAAAAGAAATTAAGGAATGGATGAGCGGACATCCTAAAGATAAGGTGATTGTGCCTGATACGGCGATTTTAGGTCGCCCAAATGTGTCGCAAATGAGTGTTGACACTACAAAGAAATGGGGCGGTGAAGTCGTCATTGTCACCAGCAATCCTGAAGGAAGTCGGGATGTTGTTGTTAATGCTTGCAAAGTTGCTGGAATCCCTGCGTTTGGTCCTATTTGGGATCTTAAAATCTCCAGTAGTGGTATTAACTTTTCTGTTTTATGTACGCATTTGTAGTTTAATTTAATAGTTTCACTTCGCGGAATGGGTGAAGACTATAATATGTGTAATGCACTATTTTTGTACCGTTTTGGAATATGCCATGATTATATAATATAAATATGTACTCCCTCCGTCCCATAATTATTGTTCACTTTGCCCAAAAAATTTTGTCCCAAAATTATTGTCCAATTTGACTTTTTATATATCAAGTTACACATTTGTCCTTAGTAAAAAATATTATCCATTAAAATCTTTGTGGTTAAACAATTACATATGTAGGAGTATATCCGGTTGTTCAAGGTAAAATATAGTTAAGTTTGACTAAAAATAAAATCTTTCATTTTAGTAAAACTGGACAATAATTATGGGACGGAGAGAGTATAATATAAGACGCTAAATATTTTTCCTAATGCTCTCTTTTGTGCGGCCTAACTTCTTGCAGCCAGATTTATGTAAATAGTTTACTTGGTGTTTTGCAAACTTGAAAATATATTATTAAATCAGTCATTTTATATCTATTTTATTAAAAATAATTCTAAATCTTGTGTAGTTGTAAACAATTTCAAAATTCATTCTTTTTTTTTAAATACTGTATAAGTTTTTGAAATTTTTTAAAAAATATATATTTTAATATTTGTTATTTTGAGTTATTTTTATTAATTGGAGAAAGTAAAAAAATGAATAACATTTGACACGTAGATGCCATAGTGTATTAAATTCATTATGCAAATTGATAGTGTTTATAAAGATATACATATATGTATTTTCTCATTTTGATAGACACATGCATGTCACTAGCTCAAGTTCTCAAGCAAATACAATGGGGTGCCTAAGTTTTGTGATAAACAAAGACTACAAATTTGTGAAATTGCAAGTTTAAGTATAGAGCCTCCTACTAGCTAACATTTAGAACAAGCAGAAGTACGTTTACAAATAATGAGTATAATTGAAGGCATAACGGTAATATGTCTATAAATTATGCGTTTTTTTTCTATGGTTAATTAAATACAAAATTAATTATACCAGATTATTTATAGGGTGCGTCGGGTATCGCGCGACGATGTTCGAGCACTAGTATACATAATATAAAGGCACAGTAGACAAGAAATAAAGGGTATATTTGTTTCGTTTTTTTAATGTGTGTTTTTAGGTATTTTTTTTATTGAGAATGTAAAAAGGTATGCTGGGATGGGACAGTTATTATTATTTAATTCTGAAAAAAACCAACTAAAAAAAAAAACAAAGCCTAAATGCCCAAGAAATATTTAAGGCCACCTTCAAAGCGATACCTTCGATCGGATGGGCTAGATATGACGTCAGAGACTTATTAGGGGTTAAAAATGGAATTTCATAAATTCAGCTCATCCCAATTCAGTTTCTGGGCATTACTTTTCGCAATTCACAAATTACTCACTTGCAGTTCGTTTTTGACGATTTTGCCCCTGAACCCATTCTATTCCCCCTTTCTTCTTTTCCTTCCTCATTTCTTCTTTTCTTTCAATTTTCTCCTTCTCCAACTTCATCTTCTTCTTCCTTTTTATCAAATTTTAAAAACATTGGTTTACTAAAAATCGAAGTTTAAAAAAATGACAGAACAAGAAACACAACAACGGGAAGAAGAACCATCGACACCGATAAATTTTTTTGCCCCAAATCGTATTTTAAAAAAAATTAAAAAAAATTGCCTGCCCAGGCTGGCCAACCCGACCGGCGATGAGCCCGGGAACCTTGGCCAGTGAGAAATCCGGCCAAGGGTAGAAGATTAGCCGGGTCAGGGACCGGCCAATCATTCAATAGTGACCGGTCAAAGTTCTACCCTTGGCCAAATTTCAATCTTCTACTCTTGGCCGGATTTCTCACTGGCCAGGCAGTTTTTTTTTATAATTTTTATTTGTTTTTTTTTTATTGTAATTTTGTTGTTATGATTAATTTAGTTAAATTTATTTATAATTAATGTAATTAGTTGTTGTATTATTGTTTGATTAATTTAGTTAAATTTATATATAATTAATGTAATTAGTTGTTGAATGTTGTGTTATTATTTTTTATATGTCATTTACTTTTTTTTGTGCTTTAGTAACATGTTTAATTTAAATTATTAGGTATAATTTGTTTAATTTAATAATTAGTGTATATTAGGTATGTGTTATGTATTTGTTTAATTTAATTAAATTTATAGTTGTATGTGATATTTAGCTTTAATAATTAATTATTATTTACGTAAATGAATTAGTTATTTTGTTATGTATATTGTATTTTTTTAAATTTTATATATTTCATTTACAGGATTATGGTAGTGATAGTGTTGATTACAGTTATCATTTCGATACTAACATAAGATTCGCAACTATTGAAGTCGCTGTGCTATGGGCGAAAAAAACTGCAATATCTCTTAATTTCACAGTGGTTAAGGCGTTGAAGACAGATGAGACTAAGAAATTATTACGATGTCCAAAGGGTGTTCTTCCTAGAGATACAGAGAATCGGGTGTGAGATACAAATGCGCAGTATTGTGGATGCACGTTCCGGTTTCTATCCCAAATTTGCCCTAGCGAATCTAATTTTAGGATTCGTTCATGTCCAGGTTGTAATGGTACGCATAAACACCCGTTTGGCAGCTTCGAGGAGGGACAGATGCAGATGAGCAGCCTTAGTGATAAATCGAATGCGATTGTTGATGTATTAACTGCCATTAACGTAAAACCGTCTACAATGCTGCGGGCGATTCAACAGAAATGCCCAGACGAGCACATTGTGATCAAACAGATATACAACTACAAGAGTAGGATGCAGGTGGAAAAGAAGAGGGGTAAAACGTTGGTGGATTACTTCTTTAACATTACTCAGCAACACAATTATGTGATTACAACAACTAATGAAAAAGGTGTGTTGAGTCATATTTTCTGTGCACATCCAGTATCTGTAGAGTTGATCCGAGCATACCCGTGGTATATTGGCATAGATACTACTAATAGAACAAACATGTATAATATGCCGCTGTTACAAATTATCGGGATGACTCCAGCCAACAAGAATTTTTTGATTGGATACGTAATTATGAAGGATGAGAAGAAGGAGAGTTATACTTGGGCATGTCAGCAGGTTCGGGATATGACTGGATGGGAGGTGCACCTGTATGCCATAGTGACAGATAGGGAGTTAGGGCTGGCAGAACCAATCAGTTTGATATTTTCAGATTCTGCACATCTTCTGTGCGTGTGGCACATCAACAAATGTGTTTTGGAAAATGCACGGCGGTATTTTGGAAAGAAATTCGCGAACTGGTGGAAGAAGGAGATGTTCGATCCAATACTTGAAGCTCCTATTGAGTACCTTCATGAAATGGCTGTGATTAATATGTCGTACTACAGGCACCCAAATGCGAAAGGTTATGGAGAGTTGGTACATTATGTGAAGACCACTTGGCTAGTTCACAATTGGGTGAGGATGATGTTTGTGGTTGTGTGTTGAGAACGACCCATGAAATCCCCTGTGCATGTGAGCTTAAACAGAAAAGAGAGTTGCAGGTGCCCATTACAATTGCCGACCTCCACCCTTTTTGGTGGAGACTTATTTAAATTGTTAAAACTAGTTATTTAAATTTCATATGTTCCATTGCAAATTAAAACACATAACATAACATTCTGAAATTGAGAAGAAATCTAAGAAGTAACACATAACATAACATTCTGAAATGGGGAAGAAGTAACACATCCTAATAAAATACACATCAATCTCTATGGCTCAATCGGAAATCATCTTGAAATTGAGCAAACAATGCCTCATGCTCCTTTACTCTCTCTGCATCAATTTCGCGGATTGTCTCAAGTGCGTTTCTATGAATTTCGGACAATCGGTTGACCCACTGCAAATAAATAAATAAATAAATTACACAATTAATAATATATTGTATAAACATTTCAAGAAATGGTTATGCAATAAAGACTTACATGAGATGTGGTTCTAACTCCACCTATAGTAGTGGCATCTAAAACCAAGAAAGGATGCGAATATTTCAAGTGCCACTGGAAGTAATTAAGAGCGCATGCAGTCTTATCAATGATCACTCCGCTCAAAATACTCTAGATCCCGCCCGATACTGAATGGGAATTGCATCCAAGCATCAAACGCCTCAGTGGGCCTCTATGAAACCTTGTAGGCGTGGTGATTACCACTACGATTTGCACCCAGGGGATGAGGAATGGGTGGAGGAATGACCTGGATGTATCCAATCTGGCGCAATACTCGACTAGGCAAGTATGGCTCAATAATATCTTGATACTGTATCCAGCCACTGTATATGGTCCTTAGATCATCGAAAACAGGATCAGGACAAAAAGGCAACCATTCAACCTACACAAAAGATATAAGATACGTTAATAACATTATTTTGCATAACTATTATTAATTAAAAGTGGGAAAAGTGACGTACTTGATCGGGTGTCAGCTTGTTGATCTGGCTGCGAAGGTGCATGACGATCTAGACTGTTATCAGGATTTAGGACATTCCACCATCTAGCTCGAGGTAGGTCAGGAGCCTCAAAGGTACCGCCCCAAGGTGGTATGAAACATAGAAAGTACACATATATCCACGCCTGAAGTAGTGTGTAGCAAGCAGACATTGGGGCATTTTTCAATCTGGTGGACACGCCTACCTGATGGTAGAGATATGCTAGAGTAACAGACCCCCAAGAAATATTGCCACAGGTGACTAGGCCATCAATAAACTCGGAGAGAATCGCCACTCTAATCCTAGTCCCACTCCTGTCGGTAAACAACATGTTCCCTAACATGACCCATAACCAGGCGGTCACCTGATCTAAAGCAAGCGTTGCCGCTCGGCCTGTCTTCGGAACAAGGCCCGACTGAACCCCTCCACCGTGGATCACTTTACTAGTCTGTAGCGTCTGGCTAGTAATTCTCAGCGCCCTCATGATCAAAGTCTTACAATCGACAGTCCCAGGTTGTGCTGTAATCAATCTACCTTCAACAGAAATACCCAATATCTGTCGCACGTCGTGTAACATGATGGTCATCTCCCCAAAAGGTATGTGAAATGTATTGGTGTCCGGCTGCCACCTCTCTACAAATGCTGTATTCAATGCCTTATCAATGTTAGTGTGTATGATGTCTACGATGTGGGACAGCCCTGTACCAGCCAACAAGATCTGAGCCTCAGTCAACATAGAACCCTTCCATTCTTTCAACAACTTGAAGTATGTGACTCTTGTATCCATCTCCAAGGAGGGTTTGTACAACTTATCCGTCAAGCGATGGGCCACATGACCAAGTAAACTGGGAATAACAGAACCGTCATAAGGGCCACCAATAACTGGTCTCGTGACAACCCAAGGCTGGGCATTACTCGCTCAAATTAACGTAAACAAATAATTCAATTTTTTCCCGATAAAATATTTGAAAAAAACTTAACTACTAAAATGTAAAATATAAACCCCATACACTACTTTTTTAAATGCTGATGATGATGCAGATGCAGATGCCGATGCAGATGCAGCTCCAAGTCCTCTAACCCTAAGACGAATAATATTGCTTCGTCTAGCTGGAGGTGAATGTGGAGGTGAGTCACCTATGAAATTATTAAACCCTTCCGAGTCGATATCTTCAGTCGGGACATCATCATTGTCACTCACATTCTGTAAGTCCAAACTGGCATGATCAAATACATCATCAAGTCCCATACTCTTACCGGCCTGACCCATTTGCGACTCACCCTTTGACTTATCCTCAATTAGACTCCCACGACGATATGAGGTAGAAATAACTTGACCATACATGTCCCGTGTACCTGACTCAAGCAACAATGAAGAATCAGGTACATCTGACATTTTCTTTTTTTCTCCTTTGAACCTACATTAATGAATGTATATAACTACTACACTGCAATAATAAATAGAAATTAAAATAACTTCAATTAAATAAATTATACCTAATTAATTTATCCTTTTAACCTACATTAAATATTATATATAAATATTCCATTATAATAATTATTCAAATAGAAATTAAAATAAATTCAATTAAATTAATTATACCTAATAAAATATAAAAAAATTCAATTAGATTAATTATACATATTAGTTGTTAAATTTATACTCCATAGATTTAAATATAATTAAATTAATTACAAATATAATTAAATTAATTACAAAACTAATTAAATTTTTTCTTTCATTATAAATCAAAATAAATCTAAATAATTAATTACAACTATAACACAACATTCAACAACTAATTACATTAATTATCAATAATTTAACTAAAATAATTATAAAAAAATTACAAAAAAAAAAACTGCCCTGACTGGTCGACCCGAACGGTAGCCAGCTCGGGAACCTTGGTCGGATTTCTCACCGGCCAAGGTTCCCGGACTTGCTACCGCTTGGGTCGGCCAGCCTGGACAGTAACCTTTTTTTTAAAAAAAATAGAATTTGGAGAAAAGAAAATTACCGGCATCGATGGTGAGCTTTCACGTTGTTGACGGCCGCATTCCGCCATTTTTTTTGTGTCCGATTATTAGTAGATCTAGATTTGAAGAAGAAGAAGAGAGGAGGAAGGAGAAGAAGAAAGAATAAAAGAGAAAGAAGAAGAAGAGATGGGGAAGGAGAAGAAGGAAGAAGAAAGAAAATAGTTCAAAGGCAAAATTGTAAAAAACGAACTGCAGGTGAGTAATGGAATCCGTAAGCTGTTGAGAAATAAAACCCCCAAACTACAAAAAGACGTCGTTTTGGACTTCTCTATAGGATTTGTGGGGACAGCCCTAAGCCAAAAACGACGTAGTTTTTAGCCTCTCATTGATCAAAACAAAATCCTCCATTTGCCCTTTAACCAACACGACGCAAAAATCGCCCAACAAAGGCGAGCCCCCATTTAATACACATTTCTTTCTTCAGTTTTAGATATTTCTCGTTCCAATTTCGCCGTCGGTGTCTCTTTTATTTCTCTGGTATTCTCCCTAGTTAGTAGATCTCTCGATTTTTTAGATGTGCTGATGGATTATGTCATTGGTTGGAGGTGGTGCTGGAAGTGGTTATGGCGGTGTTGCTGGTGGTTGTTTAGCGGTGGACTTGTGACAGGCTTTGGAAGTTGGCTTGTTGTCGTAGGCATTGGAGGTTGTGGATTTGGTGGCAGTGGTATTTGGGAAGCAATTTGCGGAGGTGGGGGATTTGTAGGCGGTGGTGTCGAGGACGGAAATGGGGGATAAGCTAGGAGAATTTCATGTTGCTAATTTGTATTGTATTAGGTTTAAAAAAATTACCAATTTCCTGATTCTATTACAAATAGGATATTTGTATTACTGTTGATTCTTCTAGAATTGTATAACAATTAGGAAATTCTTTCATTAGTTACCATGTCTATAAACAGCGGGAATTTGTTAGAAGTACAGCTACATCGATTCTAAAATTTGAAGCCACACATCTCTGCTTCGTGCTTCCTGGCCACAGGTATTTTTTGGGATGATAATTCCGGCTCTCATCGTGTCAAGCCCATCTGGCGGCGACCAGTTTTGGTCAACGAAGAACGTCGATGAGAAACCCCGAGTATTCAATCTCAAAATAGTGAAATCAATTGGGTAATCAGTGATATAGAAAGGAATCGTCGCGTCATAGCAATCGACTCCGTAACAGCTAGAAATCTACTAGAATAAAACAGCCCTTGTGAATTCGCAACTCGACGTGCAACCGGTGATAATCTCCAATTTTTATTGGTTGGTTCTTGTTATCAATACTTAGTTGCCACAGCCAAAAACCATCACTTTCTTGTCCGTTTTGGAGCCTCCTACTAGCTAACATTTAGAACAAGCAGAAGTATGTTTACAAATTATGAGTATAATTGAAGGCATAACAGTAATATGTCTATAAATTATGCATTTTTTTTCTATGGTTAATTAAATACAAAATTAATTATACCAGATTATTTATAGGGTGCGTCGGGTATCGCGCGACGATGTTCGAGCACTAGTATACATAATATAACGGCACAGTAGGCAAGAAATAAAGGGTATATTTGTTTCGTTTTTTTAATGTGTATTTTTAGGTATTTTTTATTGAGAATGTAAAAAGGTATGCTGGGATGGGACAGTTATTATTATTTAATTCTGAAAAAACCAACTAAAAAAAAAAAACAAAGCCTAAATGCCCAAGAAATATTTAGGGCCACCTTCACAGCGATACCTTCGATCGGATGGGCTAGATATGACGTTAGAGACTTATTAGGGGTTAAAAACGGAATTTCATAAATTCAGCTCATCCCAATTCAGTTTCTGGGCATTACTTTTCGCAGTTCACAAATTACTCACTTGCAGTTCGTTTTTGACGATTTTGCCCCTGAACCCTTTCTATTCCCCCTTTCTTCTTTTCCTTCCTCATTTCTTCTTTTCTTTCTATTTTCTCCTTCTCCAACTTCATCTTCTTCTTCCTTTTTATCAAATTTTAAAAACATTGGTTTACTAAAAATCGAAGTTTAAAAAAATGACAGAACAAGACACACAACAACGGGAAGAAGAACCATCGATACCGATAAATTTTTTTACCCCAAATCGTATTTTAAAAAAAATTAAAAAAAAAACTGCCTGCCCAGGCTGACCAACCCGACCGGCTATGAGCCCGGGAACCTTGGCCAGTAAGAAATCCGGCCAAGGGTAGAAGATTGGTCGGGTCAGGGACCGGCCAATCATTCAATAGTGACCGGTCAAAGTTCTACCCTTGGCCAAACTTCAATCTTCTACTCTTGGCCGGATTTCTCACTGGCCAGGCAGTTTTTTTTTTAATTTTTATTTGTTTTTTTTATTGTAATTTTGTTGTTATAATTAATTTAGTTAAATTTATTTATAATTAATGTAATTAGTTGTTGTATTATTATTTGATAAATTTAGTTAAATTTATATATAATTAATGTAATTAGTTGTTGAATGTTGTGTTATTATTTTTTATATGTCATTTACTTTTTTTTTGTGCTTTAGTAACATGTTTAATTTAATTTATTAGGTATAATTTGTTTAATTTAATAATTAGTGTATATTAGGTATGTGTTATATATTTGTTTAATTTAATTAAATTTATAGTTGTATGTGATATTTAGCTTTAATAATTAATTATTATTTACGTAAATGAATTAGTTATTTTGTTATGTATATTGTATTTTTTTAAATTTTATATATTTCATTTACAGGATTATGGTAGTGATAGTGTTGATTACAGTTACCATTTCGATACTAACATAAGATTTGCAACTATTGAAGTCGTTGTGCTATGGGCGAAAAAAACTGCAATATCTCTTAATTTCACAGTGGTTAAGGCGTTGAAGACAGATGAGACTAAGAAATTATTACGATGTCCAAAGGGTGTTCTCCCTAGAGATACAGAGAATCGGGTGTGAGATACAAATGCGCAGTATTGTGGATGCACGTTCCGGTTTCTATCCCAAATTTGCTCTAGCGAATCTAATTTTGGGATTCGTTCATGTCCAGGTTGTAATGGTACGCATAAACACCCGTTTGGCAGCTTCGAGGAGGGACAGATGCAGATGAGCAGCCTTAGTGATAAATCGAAGGCGATTGTTGATGTATTAACTGCCATTAACGTAAAACCGTCTGCAATGCTGCGGGCGATTCAACAGAAATGCCCGGACGAGCACATTGTGATCAAACAGATATACAACTACAAGAGTAGGATGCAGGTGGAAAAGAAGAGGGGTAAAACGTTGGTGGATTACTTCTTTAACATTACTCAGCAACACAATTATGTGATTACAACAACTAATGAAAAAGGTGTGTTGAGTCATATTTTCTGTGCACATCCAGTATCTGTAGAGTTGATCCGAGCATACCCGTGGTATATTGGCATAGATACTACTAATAGAACAAACATGTATAATATGCCGCTGTTACAAATTATCGGGATGACTCCAGCCAACAAGAATTTTTTGATTGGATACGTAATTATGAAGGATGAGAAGAAGGAGAGTTATACTTGGGCATGTCAGTAGGTTCGGGATATGACTGGATGGGAGGTGCACCTGTATGCCATAGCGACAGATAAGGAGTTAGGGCTGGCAGAATCAATCAGTTTGATATTTTCAGATTCTGCACATCTTCTGTGCGTGTGGCACATCAACAAATGTGTTTTGGAAAATGCACGGCGGCATTTTGGAAAGAAATTCGCGAACTGGTGGAAGAAGGAGATGTTCGATCCAATACTTGAAGCTCCTATTGAGTACCTTCATGAAATGGCTGTGATTAATATGTCGTACTACAGGCACCCAAATGCGAAAAGTTATGGAGAGTTGGTACATTATGTGAAGACCACTTGGCTAGTTCACAATTGGGTGAGGATGATGTTTGTGGTTGTGTGTTGAGAACGACCCATGAAATCCCCTGTGCATGTGAGCTTAAACAGAAAAGAGAGTTGCAAGTGCCCATTACAATTGCCGACCTCCACCCTTTTTGGTGGAGACTTATTTAAATTGTTAAAACTAGTTATTTAAATTTCATATGTTCCGTTGCAAATTAAAACACATAACATAACATTCTGAAATTGAGAAGAAATCTAAGAAGTAACACATAACATAACATTCTGAAATGGGGAAGAAGTAACACATCCTAATAAAATACACATCAATCTCTATGGCTCAATCGGAAATCATCTTGAAATTGAGCAAACAATGCCTCATGCTCCTTTACTCTCTCTGCATCAATTTCGCGGATTGTCTCAAGTGCGTTTCTATGAATTTCGGACAATCGGTTGACCCACTGCAAATAAATAAATAAATAAATTACACAATTAATAATATATTGTATAAACATTTCAAGATATGGTTATGCAATAAA